ATCTATCTATCTATCTATCTATCTATCTATCTATCTATCTATCTATCTATCTCTTCTATTTTCCTATCTGCCTGTCTACCTTATCTATTAACTTAATCACAAAATTTGATGAAATGGGTATTTTCTTTCATGTATGACTAGAGGTGCTCACGGCAGCCACCATCTGAAATGATTCTAGCTCCTGGGGACAGTACTGTCTTAATCTCCCCCAATTTCACCTGTTAATGGAGCCTCTAGCTTCCCAGTAGAAGCAGAGAACTTCCTAGAACCTTTGGTTTTAGTGGTTAAACTGTAAGTTGAGCATGTACTGACTTTCCTCTGTTCTTTTTCTTTGTCTGTGGTTTCCTATGGACACTTCCTCTCCTGTTACCAGAGTGGAGGTAAGAATTCGTTATTATTCCAAAGTTTCATGTCACTTGTGGTTTTGATTTAACATAACAAGGATTTGTCTACTGAGAACTATAATTTTTTGAGCATTTCTCATGTCTAAAGCTGTTTCATATTTTTATAAAACGATTAAAAAATAAAATGTCAATTGAGTATTTACTGTGTGTCAGATGCTCTATGTAAGTTATTGTATCCTCAAGGTATCCCCATGACATAGGGACCATGATTGTCTTCAGAAAAGAAACTGAGAAACTCTTTGCACTGCAAGCTCACTCAGGTAGAGATGAGGCGGTTTGAAATGAAGCTAAGTCTTTTTCTTGTACTTTTCCAAGAGATAATAAATATCAACTTATAGAAGTTTTAACTGTAGTGTTTTATATTAAATTGGCTTTCATTAAAACTCTATATGGCAACCCGTCAGAGTTCATGCATCTAATTCCAACCCTCCAAAAGCTGAGTCAGGAGGATCAGATGTTTAAGACCAGGCTGGACTGCATAGCGTGTTTGAGGCTAGCCAGGCTACATAGTGAATTTGAGGTGAATCTGTACTACATGATACTTTGTCTCAACAAGCAAATGAAAGAAAAAAAAATACCAATCATACCAATCAAACAATTTACCAAGTGTGGTGATGTCTACTTGTCAGACACTGGAAGCTAAAGCAGAAGTATCAGAGTTCAAAACCAGCCTTGGCTTAATGAAACCCTGTTTTGGAAAACCAGAAACCAAACAGGTGATTAAACAAACCAAAAAAGCTTTCAAAATGCCATGGTGTGAAATAAGTACAAATGACTAATTTATAATAGCAATAATAACCATTGTAGTTAGTGTTATGGTACCCGTTCTCATTTTAACATTGCAGGAACTTTAGGGAGAGGTGTTTTTATTCATACTTTTCCATACAGGGACTCAGATGCAGCAAGGGTTGCTAGACTACATGGGTCACAAAATGCTAGGCCTCCATCAACATTCGGGCAAACAGACTCCAGAACTCGGGCTCAAAGCAGTGTCCTAGCAAGGGGACCAGAAAGTGAGAAGAATGTAAAACTCTAGACTCTAGCTTGAATTCCACAGAGTATAATAACTCAACACACAATAAAATGTGGTTCCTTCTAAATCTCATCTCTGCATATTCAGCTGCATTGTTCTGCTGCGAGGTGAATTGTTAGCTATTAAGTGGTTCTCCCAGTTCATAGAGGCAGTATACTGCCTCTTCAGAGCTTGACAGTGAAGCCTAGGATATCTACCTATCAACTGAAGGAAGGGACATATGAAGTCAGCACGATAGGAGTTGAAATCCAAGCCATTTGACAATGAAGACACACGTGACATCTTTTGTTCCCATGCCTGTTAACATCACTGTCCTTCATGCCTTTTTAAAACCAAGTATTCTATTGTTGGAAATATATTGGAAGTGGACACACAAAACCAACTTTACTCTCCCATGCCCCTGGAGGTTTGTATTTTTCTGCATATAAAGATTAATTGTATGATAGCGTAATAGTGGAATCATAGGTTCCAAGGGCTTAAAGAGTAGACATAGGTCATCTCCTTAGAAGTGAATTCAAATGAAGAAGTTTAAGCATGTTAGTAGATAAATAGATGCTAGACAAAGAATAATTTCCAGCTGAATGTGGTAATGATGCAGGTCATCCCAAGCCTCAGAAGACTGGGACAGAAGATGGTGAAGTTGTGAGGCCAGCTTAGGCAAAGTGAGACCACATTTCAAAAGTAAAAGGAACCACCCCATCCACTTTTCTCTTGTGATAATGTAAATACTCTCAGACTCTGCTGATAGTGAGATATTTATTGCTGGTTTTATGAATTCCAACTTAGAAATTTTTATTAGTCTTAAATTAGCTGTATCTATAGACAAAAATCCACTTTTAGAAATCTATTCTAAGGAAATAATAAGACTTATGAACACTAGGCTCACTGCTTGCACTCATGGATATAACATATAAACATCATATGTATCCACTGATAAAGGAAATTGATTAGAAGCTCTGTTTTTTTAATGCTCAGACAAGGTTTATAGCATGTTATGAGGCAAAAATGCAGAATACAAAAATGTATTTACAGTTCAATTTTGATATTTCTGTATAAAAAGAATATATAACTTATTATACACAAATATGTAATATAGGAAATATCTGTCTATTGTATTAATATAAATCATGTTAGGTTTATAAATATATTTATGTTCATTTGCTCTTTGAGAATTTCATATGGTTTATATTTTTAATCATATTCTATCCCTGTTTCCCAACCCCTCTTAAATCTGCCCCCACTTACCCACCCAACCTCTTGTTCTTTCTCTCTTTTAACTTCTGGAAAAGACAAAATAAATTTTCCCCATTTTTCTGGTTTTTTAATAAAAAGTGCTTCTTCTTTATACTCTAGTACATTTTGTGTAAAAAAAGTTCTTAGCTTTTGCTCACAGGAAGCACGAGAGGTCATGTCCTCTTCACTGAGGACATTGCGCTTGGCAGTTCAGCAAAGTGACATTTGATCGCTATGCTACAGCGGAGGTTGGCTAACATTCTCTATAAAGGGTCAGATATTAATATATTCACTCTGTGAGCCATAAAGACATTATTAAAACTGCTCAGCCTGGTGGTTTAGCCCAAAGCACCCATAGAAAGTGGGTAAGCAGGTACAACTGCCTTTTTAAAAAAAAAAAAAGAAAGAAAGAAAACTTAATTTGTGGACATACATTCGATGCATATGTAGTTTTCACGTGTCATCAAATATTCTTTTTAGTTTTTCACAACCACTTAAATATAGATATCATTCATAGCTCTCCAGAGAAAATAAAAAGTCTCTAAATCAAAAGCATAAACTTTAAAATAAGAAGGCTATGACCTCAGTCACATAGAGGAACAAGTTGAAGAGACCTTTTTATAGGACATGGTGACCAGAGTTAATAACAATGTAGAGAATTCTTTTAAAAAGAACTCTAAACAGACTTGAATTGTTCTCACCACAAATGATAATATGCATTTGAGATAATGCATGTGTTAACAAATCCAACTTAGTCATTCTATGATATATGTAAATTTCTAAGTATCATACAAAACTTCTGTCAATTGTATTAGTTAAAAAGAAAATTTTTCTTAAGCAAAAGACTGAAAAAATGCCATTTATATGCTACTTTGATAAAAGAGTATCCCTCTTGGTGCATATATGTGAACATTTAAATTGGTTTTAAGAACATGTAATCATGAGTAGTCATCATTGACTGCATTCCCAGGTTTTAAAATATTATCAAAAACCATTGGGTCCTTTTTTGAATCTGGGTCTTTCTTTAAGAGTGGAGTCTGACAGGTCTTGAGTTATACGCGTTGGCCTCAGCCTTAGCAAACAAATGAATCAATGACAGACAAAAGGCAGCACTTTGAAGACAGGGAATGGCTGGGAACCTCCCTCCGCATCACCTTTGTAGGGGAAAAGCGGCAGTTGCTATGTAAGGGGAGATCCGAGGAGAGGGACGGCTATCGAGTTTACCTCCACTACAGCAGCGGGTGTCATAAACCAAACAGGACATAGCTGGCCCTCTGCAGATGCCCTTGGACAAAGTTCAAAGGAAAGAGATGCTCCCTCCTTCACAGAAACAGGAAGGTAGTCCTTCGGAGTATGATTCAGACTTGCTTTAGAAGAGAGGAAACGGGGGAAGAATCGCATGAATGTTCCGTTTGACTTCAGGGCGGTCCTTCATAAGAGACAACGAGGGAGGGATCTGGGACCAAATACCCGTTCTTGCCCCTGCAGAAGGTGTGCAGCCAGGTCTGCAGTAAGGAGGTAATACAGGGATGGGTATCTCCTGGACTGAAGAGATGGTTTACCGGAACAGTCCAGAATAGTCAACCTTCTGTAAAGGGAGCTCTGTGACCTCTGCCCCACTGTTCAAAGGAGTCACAGACCCAGCTGCCCTCAAGACAGGAACTATGTGTCAGGAACTATGCTAGAGACACAGTCTCAGGTGGGCAGTGCGAAAGCCCACAGAAAACACAGGGGTAGAGAGCTTCTCTTCACCTCAACTCCCAGTTTTTGCTGGGAGCACCATTCATATTACTTAATCATAAATTTAGAAAGTCTGTGGACTAAATAATTCAATTTATAGCTGCCGCGCTTACACCCTCCCACCCCGTTTGCGCTCTATGCTAGAATCCATTTTGCGAGCTTCGCGCAAGGAGGTTGAGGAAACACATGGACCTCCAATCACTGGTACAAAGGCCCTCTTTAATAGCACCATGGAGGCTTAAATACCCAGCAGTCAATGGCCAACAGGTGAAAATCCCATCCTCTGATCCTCTAGGCAAAGCACAGCTTTTAGTAACTTCAATTAGTAGGCTCTAGTAGGGAAGAGCAGCTGAAGGCCAGGAACCCAATTGGTCCCAACATACAGTCATTTCTGGTATCTCAAATTAGATAGCTGTGTAAAATTTGAGTTTTATAAACATCTTCAAAAAAGTGGGAGAGGTTTAAAGTACCAAAACTGTGACTAGGCAGTTCACTGATTTTTAAGAGGCGATCTCTAGATATATAAGATATATCTTTATATGCATTAATATGTATATATACATAGTGAATATTTGTATGCTTGGGTTGTGAAGGTGATCAAGCATATGTACGCTAGCAAAAGTCTCCAAAACCTGTTCAACTCTCTTCTTCTGCCCTTTTATGCTTTGACTACTAATTCCTTATTTCTGAAGCCATTTTTATTAGTTTTCTGTAGGGTCTTTTTCTTTGTCCAAAAAGACGTGTTTTGTTTGTGCAATTAAAAGGAAATCAGCAATGTGTATTACATTTTGATGTTCATGGAAAAACAAGAGTTAGCTCCATTTGGTAGTTAGCACTCGGCATGAGGACCTGGACGAGTAGCAGACGTTGTGAAACACATTCAACTTTTACAGGATACAGGGTTTTTGTTTTTCCCTGCTCTTATTCACTCTCTAGTTTTTACCAAGAAATGTATGTAGTGGCATTTCGCTTGTATTTTAATAAATAAAACTTGCCTGAGGTCAGAAAACAAAACAGCCAGCCACAGACTCTTACCTCGACCTCAGAAAAGACAATCCTGCCTCCAAGAATCTCAGAATAAGACTGTGTCCAAGAACTGTTTCCTCCTGTTTTATAATCCACTCTAGGGCTGGGATTAAGGCGTGCACCACTACTGCCTGGTCTATAAGGCTGGCCAGTGTGACTGTTTTACTTTTCTGATCTTCAGGCAAGTTGTATTTACTAAAATACCAGTGAAAGGCCACTACAGATTTGTGAGACCGTTGACAAACCAGGATGGGCTCCTTCTGGCTTTTGACTGTTCATCTGTTTTGTTGAGCTACAGCAACCACGACTTTCTTTTTTTAATGCCACCACAAATTGGCTTCCCTAAGTGGGTTATTTTCTGATTCAAGGCTTTTTATTTTAAATATCCCCTATGAACTAAATGGCACAATAATGGTCCTGCTGCCCAATTACTAAGTGACCAATCCAAACTGAAACTATCTTATGAAACATGGTTTTATTTGGATGCATGGAGTCTTGTTCTAATGAATTTGTTTCAAAGACCGGACAGTGTTGATTTATACATTATGGACTTTTCACGTTCAAATAGTGTTCCCTAAGCATTTAGAAGTTCCCAAACTGCAGTCTGCTGAATTTGCTTACTCTAAATCTTTTATAGACTGGTAATGAAAACTTAACTTTTAGTTAAGTTTTAGTAAATATCTACAATTAATAGCATGCATTTAATGAGAAATATGATTGAAGTTTTCCATTCTGTTAGTGATTAAGATCTCACGGAAACCATAAGAATACAGACACCCATGATGTTGCCTACACATGATAAATATTCAGTAATTGTCAGTGAGTCTCTGAGCTACTATTGTCCCAGTAAAGAAGTGGCATAGCCAAGATGGGGATGTATTAAACATTTTGGGTACTTAGCTCGGTAGCATAGATTGTTCTTAAAGCTGCTGATACTTTTCCATGGGAACAATTAATATGTTCTCTCATCTGTTATTCACCACAATGAATATTTTTCTTGGATTTTATCAGTTTATGTGCAGATCAGTATGTGAGCTGACTGGAGCAAGAACAATCATTCTGACTATAGCCTAAATAACAAAATTGCCCAAATTCATTCAGTTCTCGACCGTTACCAAAGCTTTCCATAGCTTGCGGTACCTAGAAATGACACTGTTGCTCCTGGGGATGGGGAGAATATTCAGATGAAACATTTCAACACACTTGCCAGGACAGCCTCTCCGTATTCCTGTGATGCAGATGTGAGGGGTGGCAGAGGCAGAATGGATGCCAAGAAATTGCATCTGACGGGTTACGCTGCTCATCACTTCTTTCAGCAAATCACAGAAAGACAGCAAAGGCTACTGTGCCCAGTACAGAGGGGAGGTGTGTGATGCAGTCCTGGCCAAAGATGCCCTGGTCTTTTTCAACACCTCCTACTCGGACCCTGAGGAGACCCAAGAGCTGCTGATCCACACTGCGTGGAATGAGCTGCAGACTGTGAGCCCACTTTGCCGGCCGGCTGCCGAGGCCCTGCTGTGTAACCATCTCTTCCAAGAGTGCAACCCTGGAACAGTACCTACTCCCATGCCCATTTGCAGGTAAAACTTTGAAAATGCATATAAAAAGTCATTCTTTGTATGCCAACCGTTTGCAAAAGAAGACATTGTCACAAGCAGTAGGCACGTACATGGTGCACATACATGTATGAGGGAAAAACATTCACACACATAAAATTAATGATTGGCAAAATTTTCCACTCAGCCCAAGAAAGTAATTAAAAACACAAAATTTCTCCCATGTAAAGCATTGATGGCAATCTATGATACAGATACTCTGAATTTGCAGAAAATATTGGTCTGGTTCAATCAAAAAGTGTCTTGCACACCACAAAAAGAGCCCTGTGATATATGTGTGCATATGCACACACACAAAATTTTCTTTCTCTTTGATAGGGATGTAGGACACGTGTTATAGTGTGTGTGTGTGTGTGTGTGTGAGAGAGAGAGAGAGAGAGAGAGAGAGAGAGAGCGTGTGCGTGCGTGCATGCATGCTACACAAGCTTGAGCTGCACCCAAGCCCTTACATATTTTCATTATTTTCCCTCTTAAATTATTTTCTCCTCTTATTATCAACCCTAACAACCTTAATTTGGAATTACCCAGGGTGGTCTTGACGCAATTTGTCCTAGGAAGTCCAAAAAAAAAAAAAAAATGTTATCTTCCAAATCCCAATTAGTCCAACTAGCTTTTCTTCAGCTCTTCCACACATTCCACAGCCTGTCCAGGCTTAACAGCCTCACACTGTCTCTAATTGGGCATCTCAGGGGGAAGCCCTTAGACCCTCAGGGTGGAACTCTGCTCTCCAGGGAAGGGCTGGCCTAGGAACTCAGGGTGCTCCTGCAAACCCTTGCTGGTGCTGCTGTTCTCTTCCAGGGAGCAGAGCAAGCAGGTTCAGGGGTGTCCTTTCTCAAGGCCGGCCCATCAGGCCCGAGGTGATGGCCCGTGTCCCTTAGTTCATATGCTCTTAAAACTATCAACCTTATTTCTGTATCTTTGGTTTTATTTTTTAAGGTTACTGATTTAATTTTATGTGTATAAATGTTTGTCCTGCATGCATGTATGTGCTCATGTAAGTGCCTATTGATCCCCCGGAACTACAATTACAGATGACTGTGAGCTAACATGGCTGCTGGGAATTGAACCTGGGTCTTCTGCAATGGCAGCAAGTGCTCTAGACCTCTGAACTATCTCTCCAGCCTCTGTACCTTTATTGTTAATACGAACTTCAAGTGACAATATATCAGGGACTCTTATCTAATTCATTCTAAATTTAAGGGGGAAAAAACCTAAACAAGATAGTATTTCGTCTCATAGCTCCATACACTATACCTTTTAATGCCTCTATCTTATAATGCCTTGCGTTAGTTAAGTCACAAAGAGTTATTTAAAAATGCTTTTGTAAGCAAAGACACCACGATGTGACGATGTTTCATAAATACAAAATTTAAGCCTCACTGCAAATTTGCGTTTAACTCACCGTGGTTCATCAGGTCTTGCTTGTCTTTCAACATTTCAGAGAGTACTGCTTGGCCGTGAAGGAGCTGTTCTGTGCAAAGGAATGGCTGGCAATGGAAGGAACGACCCACAGAGGCCTCTACCGCTCAGGGATGCATCTCCTCCCAGTGCCAGACTGCAGCAGGCTTCCCAGCATGCACCAGGATCCCATGGCCTGCACAAGACTGCCCTATTTAGGTAACATGAAATTCCCTCCAGACTTTGGAAGTTAAGGAAATTTTACTGTTTAGAGTCAAGTAAGGTGTGTCCTTAAAGCGCCTAACATTTTCAGGCTTTCTAGGCTGTTCTAATGTTTTTTGCTTTGCCCTCTCCACACCCGTAACAGCAGAATCCTAATACTACCCTAATCACACAGGTTAGCATAAGAATTAATTTCATTTGTTTTCAAATAAACCGAAGGGCACTTGTAACTGCTGCTTGGATCTTGCTTTATTTCACAGGGGTGCTGAGTGTAACATTTTCAGGGATGTATGGGAAGACTGCTAAGAAATATCTCATAGTTTGTCAGAGGAATGGCGTAAAGGAACAAATAATCCTCTTTCTTAGCCAACGGTGCAGATTTTTTTTAAGCATGCAGAAAATAAGCCACATGTTTGGAAACGCTGACCCCACAAAACCACACCGAGCGACTGCATGGTGCTTTATGAGTTTCGTTTGTAAGGACGATGCTACCCTAACCGCTGGTTTCGTTTCAAAGATGCGCTCTTCGCGTTTGAATGCTTTTCTCTCACTCACTTAAACGCTGGCAGGGAAAGTCGCATTTCTTAGCGGTAGCTCAAGGATCTAGGAGATACCTCAATGCTTACTCAAAACCAATTTTTATCCTTTCCCCCTCAGATTATAAAAAAGAAAACATAACAAGTAAGTAATTCCGTTTGTGCCTCTGAAATCTTCTGTGTCTGTAAGTGGATTCGTGCATGTATTATTTACCTTGCCCTCCCAGATCTCCAGAACAGAATGTACTGAGCGTCATCGGCCCCCACACACAGTGGTGGGGCTCATCCCCTGCCTCAGCTAGGACGTGATGCTTAGCGAAGAGAACAAATACATCTCCTTTCTCAAGATGGTTGGCCTTTTTTATACCCCAGATGTTTAATAAATCTGGGGTTTAACCACAGATTTTGGATTCTGCAGCAACAGTTTCATGCTATGTAATTTTTTTGGATAGAAACAAATACTATTTTTCTCTATTGAGCTGTTTTCTGATCTTCATTTGTAACAAGTCTTTCTTTTTTGGGGGGTAATAGGTGTACTTTTTTAAAAAGAATTTCTTAGTCTTCTTTTAGTCCTTGAATTTTTATACACAGATTCTGTATTAATTACAGAATGTTTTGTCATTTGAACCAAGTGGGGAAATGAAAAGGCAATAAATCATCGATAATCCTACTTTTCATAATATTTTGTCTTAATTCTAAAATTAACCATTCTACTAGTAACAAAGAGGAAGCTCTTAGGATGTCATTGGAATCTCCTTTTTCTTGCTGTGTTTATTTATTAGTTGTTCTTTGGGACTTTCGTGTGACACATTTTTGATCGTGTTCATTCATTTAACCCACTCCTCTACTCAACTCTTCCCTGCCCTCCCAAAATCAAACCTTCAAGACCAATGTGGGCCATTGTTTCTATCTGAAGACTCAGAAAATCTGATCCTTCTTAAAAGGCGCTCAAATATAGTGGGGTTTTTGGTGGTGATGGGGAACAAACCCATGAGCAACTCGATGTCAGACAAGCTTTCTACATCTGAGATGCATCCTGGATTGTCTTAGACGTGATCTCTTTCAGTAGCTCACGCTAGCCTCCAGCTTTCTGGCTTTGATTCTTCCCCAGCTGCAAATGTTGCCACCATGCACTGGCTCAGAGTGACTCCTCATCTGCCCTACACACTGGCTTCAGCGGGAAAACTTTAAGAAGTGTGGCTGCCCGGGTTCCCCACATACACATTCTGGAGCATTTGGTGTGGAGTGCAATCTAGGATTTGAGCTTCCTCTTACTTTTTTTAAATTGATACATAAAATTGGACATATTTGAGAAGTATTTTGTGATGGTTTGATTTCCTGTATTAGCATTCAAGCCAGATAATCCTGTCTCCTCATCTACCTATTTATCATTTCTTTGAGGCAAAAAGCCTCAAAACCATTTCTTAATGTCTCTGTAATATAGAATTCTGTTTTCTGACTGTGGAATAGAACAAGGATTAGTTTTTGTTTGATGGTTTGGTTTTGATGGTTGCTGTTGCTTTAGGATAGCCACCTTTTAGTATAGTGTTTGCAAAGCTAAGCAAAATAATTTTGTAAGGGTCATCAGGAGGGCCAGCAAGACAGCTCAAAGGGTAAAGGCACTTGCTGCCAACCCGGATGGATCAGTCCCCAGGACCCACATGCAGGAGAGAAAGAACTGCTACAAGTTGCGACACTCAACAGCACAAACTAGCTACGGATGTTAATTTCTTGACTTCAGAAAACAATTATATGAGATTTTTATACATTTGAGAAAATTAGCTCCAGCTCTTGCAAAAAGATAATTTTCTCTGGACATAGGTGGGAAATGTCTGTGCTCTCTGAGTCAAAAGAAATAGTCTTTTCTGCTAGCTTAATTCTAGCAAGGAAAGTGTCCTGAATACACACACCAACTCGTGTTTGATGGGAATGTTTTAAACATTAAAATATTCTTCTTTGCATGATTTATTTTTTAAAAAGATCTTATTACATTTATTTACTTAGCCTGTGTGTGCATGCGTGTGCATGCACGTACAGGCCAGAGGACCACTTGTGGGAGTCAGTTCTACCATACGGGTCCTGGGAATCAAGCTCAGTTCATCGGGCTCGGTGGTAAATGCTTTACACACTGACCATCTTGCAGGTCCTGCTTTATGGCTTCTCAGTAAATTCCAAATGTCATTACTAGTTCACTTTGAGGTGCAACTGAGAAACTTTTAAAGTCCTTCTTTCTCTTTGCATTAGTTTTTTTCTTGCTCAACATGGGAGCAGAGTTTCAGCAGTCTCTGGGGTTGTTTTGTGTTAACCTCGTCTTTTGCTGAATATGCCATGACTTTGCCATATTTACATCACTCTGCGCTAAACAGACTGTTTGTCTCTTCTGTGGGATTCCACATGCCTTCCTGGCACGCTCAGCAGTGCGCCTACCTTCTATTTCAAAGCCTCTGTAGAAGCAAAACGCAGTCTGGATTACTCTGGTAATGGAGGGCTACATCTCTCCCATTCACTGTCCCTTCCAACTTTGCTCTCACCACTTCTGCACCTAGAGAATCTGCATAGCCCAATTCTGGCAAACTGATTAGTGTGGTTGTGCACAGTCTCTCGTGAGTCCCCCAACAACCCTATGGAAGTAGGTACCGTGAACACGCTCCGTTCTACATACTAGTCAATGTGAGGAACAGGTCAGCTGACTCCCCTCACCTTCCACCCTCCCTGGGTCCTATGTAGCGTTGGGGTTAAGTTAGTATTCAGGCCCACTCTGTCTGATGCTGGTTCTACCATCAGATTCCTCCTCCTCCACAACCTATGTAGAGTAGGGGTTAAACTAGTATTCAAGCCCTAATCTGCCTGATTCTGGCTCCATTATCAGAGTCTAATTTTTCAATTGTTGCAACTGATGGTTTTCCATTACCCCCCCCCCTTTGTAAATTTCCAAGACCTGACATGAAAAGTTTGCCTGGCTGTTCTGATAGATTTGCTCTATAGGAAATGCTGTTCTGGGGAAGCTCCTCCCATCAGCCAAAATGTTTCTGATTCTTAACCATCCAGACAACTTGACAGTCTTCTTGGCAGCATTTCAATAAATGAATGCTTTGCTTCTAAAATTCAGTTTCCACCATGGTCAGGTACTACTTTGGCCACAGATGAAGTGAGAGAGGGAGGGAAGGAGAGAGAGAGAGAGAGAGAGAGAGAGAGAGAGAGAGAGAGAGAGAG